TCTAATGGATTGGAAATAAGCTGAATTGGAAACTTATTTTGTAACTGTTTTAAATGATAACTTCAGGAAATTGCATGAGACGGGAGCGTGAATGGTACGCTTACTATGTTTTCGATATATGGTAATTAAATGTTGAAGTCATGATTATGTAATAAATGATGAGTATGCTTTAACTGCTCTTCAAGACTACCATCAGATCAAATCATTTGTACTCTGTGGGCCAAACATTTGACTGTTTCTTTGATAATGTAGTAAGACAAAGCTTGAAAAGTGTGTATATTGGCCTTGTGTAGTGGTTTACTATAAGTAATTCTTATTCACCCGTCAGTTCTCATCAGTAGGACGTCTAGAAAGGAGACTGTGTTACACTTTTCTCCTTCCATTTTGAAAGTGATTGCCTGGTGCTTTTTGACAGGCTCTGAGCTTCGCTTTTGTAACTATAACTGTATCATCCATATAGCGTCAATAAAATTATAGTTTGTTTATCACTTATTTTAGAGGACCGTTTTCCAATTTTGCCAGAAAATGATCAGCTAGGGTTTGAACTAATGGTGGTCCCATTGAGCGAATTAGACCCATGGCTTACCAAAGGTACATAAAACTGGTTTATCACTTCATCCAGTCCTAAATATGGTCAATTCACCATAACATGCAACCACGAAATAGCTAGTTGTAAAACAAACATATTATTGTAGAGCCCTGATAAAGGACTAATTGTAAAAGAATATTTCTTCAATCACCTTGCCTTTTTAATCTCAATATGTTAGCATTCATAACTTAACTGTTATTTTGAATTTCATGCGAAAAATCTTATTTTAGGATAATACAAAACATGCAAAATTGAACGCAAGTTATATTTCTCGAATTCATGTGAAATAAACAAAGCCTAATGAAGCTGTAGCTGATAAGCTGATCTTGAATTATGTAACTCCTACTTGATAAAAGAAGATAAAAATAAAATCTTACTAAACAATAATAACAACAATCGTATGAATTTATTTTCGCTTCATGAAACCTAGATGCAGAAAACATTTAAATTAACTACTACAAGAAACCAATGAAATATTTATTCGGTAAAGCTAGATGACAATCCTAAAATAGTTTGGCAGGGAATCTAGAATTTATATATATATATATATATATATATATATATATATATATATATATATATATATTTCAAGGTCATATTCTTGCCCCGATATATAAATTCTGTTCCAGTTTATCTTCGTTAAATATCAAATCCTTTCACAACTGCCATCTACTTTCTAAAATCCTTTGCTGTGGATCACTTATGAAATAGGTGAAATCAGAATAGACGACCTTCGAATGATATTGAAGTGGCCCTTGAAAAATTCAGCTATTTACTAGGGACTAAATAGGATTATGAATTAGTGTGAGGAATCCGGACTAGAAGTTAAGATTTTCATTGCAATGTGACATTAGCTATATTGTCAATATATAAATAAGCCATATAGATGGACAAACTTGGCGCCAAAATCGAAGAGTCACAACCTTGTTTATTAAATCTCAGTCTTGTCGTTAAAGTGCTATTTTTCAGTTGCCATGAGGTCAAATTCGCAATATATTTCTTTTGTATATAATAATCTCATACGTCTGTATTTAGCAATTACCGTAGAACCAGCTTATCAAGTTGAAACAGTTCCCATCTGTTAATGTTTGTCATGACTGATAACCCCATTACGATTGCTTAGGCTGTTATAATGTCAGTTTTTTTCTATTTGTAATTATTTAAAGTGTAGCACATTGGGTTGATGAGTGTTTGCACCGATTCTACTAAGTTCCTGATTGATTCTGGTTATTATTCAATGAAACGACATATTAGCTGCAATTTTAAATACAAAACGCACCCATAAACTAAATAGCAAAAACAAATTCTCAACAGAACGAAGTATAGAAGTGAAAAATTGTAGATGTGTAAACAAATATTAGAAGCTAATGAACCACCAAACAATGCACTATTTAGTAATAATTTTTAATTTTCCATTGCTGAAATTCAAAAATGTTATTGATCAGTAAGCAAAGATGGATAGTGGATAGCATTGGAATCTAGGACGCGCATTTCGTCCTATTTGGGACTCGTCACCTGGATGTACCTGCATCTCACTGTTGATGTTCACTCTTGCACTCGAACCCAGTACCTTTCGCTTCAAACACAATCGCGTTGTCAATCCAGCAACTGATTCCTGATAGCCAATTGCTTGTGCAATGGGGTGAAGTTTAAATTCACTTAGTATTACTTGTTTGAATGATGGCATCCACGACGCAGGCTTCGTCTTCGTTGGGACTCGTTAGTTGGATGTACTGGGATTTAACTGTTGTTGCATAAAAAGATATCGATCAAATGAAGTTTCAAATACTAACAATAGGAGATTATAGACCATGAATAATACATTCATACTCGTTAAAAGAACTGTTTGGACTCAGTAGCTCAGTGGATAACGCGTTTGCATTTAATCTTTCAAGTAAAATACTTTTAATGAAAGAGAACTGTTACATAACCGAGAATAAATAACGATAAACGATATTGACTAATTAATATTAAAACTCAATAATATCTCACTTAAATGAATTTTTAATCAGAAGAAATTTGTTATTTCTTATCACTTAATGACTGAATAAATATTTACTTTCTTAGAAACCATTTAACGACTTGCTATATTACATTGACATATTACAGAGAAACAAAAATGTAGTATATTTACAGTAACCTACTTTATATTGTCAATTATGTATCACAAACATAAAAGGTTTACGAACAAATATAGTAACATCAGCTAATCCAGATACTTAAACTCATATATATGTACGTGAACGTATAACGAAATGAATCAGCATAATTTCAAGAAAATAACGAACAAAATGTTCATATTATTTTCCTTTATTTAAGTAACATGTTACAAATGACAAAACTGACACATCTGATGTTTTTTCACACGAAAACGTTAAGTAAAACATCTAGTGTAACTGTGATAAAATCCCTTTACTTCCCTCCCCCCCCCCACCAGAAAAAGAAACATATTTTTTGTTTACCCATTTTTATGATGTTTAGAGATATCTAAGGGAAACAAAAAACATTAAATATGGGGACTTCAATTCAGTTTCTTATACCTGTCTCATCATTTCGATAAATTCTGTTAAGAGTCCTAACGATCAAATTTAAAAATATTTAACATATTTGAATACCGAACCACATACATAGGCACAAAGTACGCAATCCATTAAGAATATAGAGACTTGAAGCGTTAATGACATATATTACCTCATCTGATTCGCCTTATGAAAATAACAATAATAGAAAATGTAAACACTTCATCCAATCGGTCATCAACCTATCAAACTTAGAAACTGTATATTCAGTCACTTAACAATTTGAAAAAAGCGTGAACATTACACTTTTAGTACATATCATTTGAAGGATCAAACGTTGATGACAGTTATCTTATTTACAATTTCAGAAAAAGGTTCGCATGTAGTAATATCAGCCCACTATAAAACTAACCGTGTTTGCAGTTTTCTTGAGGTATTCTTTAGGTATTTTTTACCTATTTGACCACAGTGCTTAGTATCATTAAATATGAAATATAATTAGCTATCTATTGTAATGAGTGTTATGGACTTCCTAAATTGAGTTTATTATCATAAACATTTACCTTTATACATAAATTCATTTGTATTGGTTATCTGAATCTTTCTATTGATGTTTAGGATTGCGACTGACCAGTCTCTTTGGGGATATATGCAACCTATGATGATAACCCGATATCATTTGGAGCGAACGGCAACGAGTTCAAGTTAAACTCTGGGATCCAGGTACATCAACCTGACCAGTCCAAAACACGACAAAATGCACTTCCTGGATTCTACTACTAGCCATCAACCAACTCTATTTATATTCTGAAACCCTCACTTTAAATTAAAATAGTAAAATTTCCAATTCTTGCGTATCCCACTTATTAGATCTTTTGATTTATTTATCATAGAAAAATCATTTTCAGTAATAGCTGACATGTGCATATAATTCAGCCTACTTTTTCTTCCCTTTTTATAGTTGGTTCTAAAACTTTATTTTTTTAATTGCTTACTATACTACATATTATCATTTTGACTGTGCCACTAACATCGCAACTAACACCTGAAGACTATGTTTCCAAGCCTACAAAATTTCAAACGATTATTTTTATTTCCATGATGATACCTAGTGCTAGAAAAGAAACTCACAAAATTTGATTTCGGGATATCAAACGTTAACTTCAGTGAATGTATAAATCCAGTACTCAATCATAGTGTATAATAGAACAATTATAAAAATATTAGCAAATAGTTTAAATCCAATTCATGTTATTCAGTTCGTAAACTCAGTTAATACGTGAAGATAACGTGTTAGTAACAGTATACGTTACAAATCTGGAGGCTCGATCAATGTATTTTACAGCTGTAATGTCGGAAGCAAAAGCAAAAGACACTGCCATGAAGCTAAACCATCATTGTATACAAGTTGAGACTGACTTAAAATGATCACATTACTCTAGTAATTCAAGTTAAATTTAATTTAAAATCTTAACAAGCACCAAGTGAACATTTATCTATTTATTTATTAAGACGACCAACAGATACAGTATGAACGTGACTTATTTTACGTTATTGAAACACATATGCATTGATACAAAGAGGCACCAAATACATATGCGCCGCACTTTGACATTCGATTTGTATAAGAGCTGGAATGCTGTCCGATCGCTCAAACCGGAGCATAAGGTTTCCTTATGGCCCACTTCCCAAGCCTTTCATCCAGAGGTCTAATCCACAAGATAGCGAAGCAACATTAGGAGATGCAGTCCCATGTAGACAGAGATGAACAATAGATTCATACACCATTTATTCCTTCACGACCCTGGAGTTCAAGTGCACCATTGGTTTGGAGTCAACGTTTTCCAAATCCCTAGGTAGGTTCTCCATATCCACCAACCCGGTAAAAGCATCGGAAATCAGCTTTTAGTCCCCTCAATTTTGTAAAAACACCCCCTTCGTGAGAAGGGGGTGTTCAGAACTTCTTTGAAAGTGGCTGCATACGCGAGGTCATTTGAGAGTATTTCTAGAGGGAGAACGGACTCTCTCCACCCTGAACTGTACCACGGCATTTACTACTTAATGATTTCATGAAGTCCCTACATAAGATATGCGAGAAAAATAACCCACAGAAACAACAACACTGAGGAAATAAAAGGCGAACTGTGAAACGACAGAACAAAAAAATCCAAAATTCATGAAAATACGTAATGCACAAAATAATAATGTACAATATTTTTTGAAAATTTTGTTTTAAAAAACTTGAATCAACTGAGCACCAGCACCAACAACAAGTACAAAACATTTGTTTTTATTCTCTTTTGTAAATATAGATTGATTATTTATACTGGTTACAGATAAACTATGAGGTTCACCTAAACCGCATAATAGAAAATATTTCATTGGATTTAACTGGAAATCACAGGATGAAATTTTATTTAGACACCAAAGAATTAATCGTTGATCTGAAGCCAAACTTAGGAAATAATATAAAAACTCGTTCGTCAATTCCAAATTAGGACATGTAGCAATTTTCACAACACTACTGAAATGTCTTACACACGAAGCGGACCACTGAGGATATGTTACATCAGACTTTGACGAATGACGGATATTCAAGGGAACCTGTGCAATACGAATACTACCATCATCCCCACCAACCACAATAATCGTTGAGATTGTATTAGTGTCAGATAAAGTAACCTCTATTATCGGCGAAGTTATACAATTAAAAGCCAATTGGTTTTGTATATGAAACGGTGGAATTGGTTGACAGTTCAACATCCAATGATAGGCAGAATCTAGACGAAGACCAAATATTCCATCAATATCGTTGTCTTGGTGATGAATATATGGTTCACTGGTACATTGGTTGTTATCAGCAAAACCAGAACCTCTCACAGGACACCATGGTATAATCCATCCATGTAATTCCCCACGAGAATTCGAAATAACAAAAGAAATCTGACAGGAATTGATTTGCAAAAGTTTTAAATCTAAACAACAACTGATGTAATTGTCTGATTTGTTAGTTGGTAATATCGTTGGATTGATTCTTTCGATTTCTGAGAATTTCGGATATTCCGTATTATTTCCAGATGATGGTTGAACATGAATCAAGCTGAGGAAAATAATAACACAAAAGAAGTAGTTTGGATGGGAGTTTTATATAATGTAACCAAAATGTGTTTTTTAACAAGAAATCTAGAATGTTTACGGTACAGCGATTATTGATTTTTTGTGACGACAATATAACTGTAAACAACTGCATATTATACGATATCAAACAGATATTTGACAACTGAGGGACTAATTGCGTTAAGTGCCTGACGTCATGTTAACAAACTTTGGATGCCTTTTATTTTAAAATATATCGGAATGAAAAAATCATATCGGTAGTCAGAGTTATATGCTGGTGGTTTGAAAGAATCCTAGTATACTCATAATTACGGATCATTTCTGATAGCTTTTACAAATATGGAATTAGAAAAACTCAACTTTCAAATGGATTAGCAGAGCAACAGTTATTACTTACTAGTAACAGTATATAGTTCTGCTCATAAAAGTAGAAATAGTGATTAGGGTAGAGTATTAGCTGTCAGCACGTAAAGAATCTTCTCTTTATCCATGCTCTAATAGTATTGTTGAAAATCTTTCAAACTATAGTCAACTATACAAACTTGAAAACTCAATCAACAATTTACTTTCACTGTATCGAAACTTGGTAAAAGCTTTCATGAAATATCAAAGGCTATTTGCAGAGAAAACACGTTGAATAAAACGGCTATTTTCATGTAGGTCAAGAGTTTCAGTAAAGCTAGTCATTCTGCAAAGATAATACAAGGTCAGTATGACTGTCAACCTCCTGTTATGCTGAGAACATTCCAGAATATTTTGAATCACAAAAATAGTGCTGTACTAAGCGTATTGTATAAAATGTGGAGTACTTTGACAGAAATTAAGATTGGTTTACCGTAAACGTTGTAGAATGAAGTTTTTATAACCGTAGCTCGTGTATCCATTGGTCAGAATGTGTGTTAAAACCAGAAAAGAAAAACATTAAATCACTTACCGTACATATCCATCTGAACAGCCTGCAATAACTAATATATTATCATCTAATTGATCTTCTTGTCTAGGAACTTGAACACAATCTAAAGCCATTACACGTGTGTCACTTGATACAATCACATTTTCAAGTTTAGCAGTTTTCAAATCATCATCATGATCACTACCATTATCCTGTTTAATAGTATCGTGATCATCAAAAACATTATCAACCCGATAGTATTCATTATGTCGAATTTTCTTGGAACCTAAGAAACCTGCTACTAATGCAGGTTCATTCGATGATACTAAACGCCACAAACAAATCTGCCCACGACCACCAGCACTCAGTACGTAGCGTTTAGAAACAGTTTCTTGGTTTGAATTTATATTATGAATAAGGATATATGGTGTGTTTACGCAACGAACACTTGATATATGACCACGATGATGTTGTGGGAAACTGGAAATCGGTTCTGTGTCGGAAATAACATAACAAAAAGAAACGATGTGACGTTAAAAGATGTCGTTTTAGTTGACTATATAAAGGTACTAAAAAATGAAAGGAAACATTATTTAAATTTAACATTTTATGTTTATAAAGGTGCAAAATAAAGATTATCACTATCATTTAAGTTACACAGACTTGGAATTACTGCTGATTATTTAAGTGATCATTAGCTACATTAATCATTGGTCTTATTCTAAATAAATCGTATACAATTGACCTGTTTTGTCTGCCAAATTCTACAGTTGCTTGTTACTAATTCTGATACCATTTGTTTCCTTGACTGCTCTCTATTTACCATCATGTTGACACTGATACGATGGGCATTAAGTGTGAGTGACTTATAAAACTCGTATCGTAAAGTTATTTACGTTTTAAACGACATTTTATTAATGTTCATTTTTTGTATGAAAACTTTCATTTATAGACATAGTATTCTGTTAATAGGAAAAAGCGCTCTCTTATAATCAGTTAATTTGACCTTCATAATCTGTTCATTGGAGGGTTTACATCAATAATCACTTATTGTTTGAGTACAGTAACCAAACTGATTCCGGTGATCAACTGAAAAATCTCTAATCAATTATAAATGTCTATTCTATCACTAGCAAATATAAAATATACCAAGTTGAAGTAGTAAACATTTCCATAGTATCTATTTACACCACTAAAGAGTTGACTTGGACAAATATTAATAGACAATAATGGTGAGAGTAGAAGCTCCAAGCCTTGACAATCAACATTGTGACATCATGGTTTCAATAGATCACGTTATGAGGTTGAGTATATTATATTTCACATTTGACAAGTGTCCGTATACATTGCAATTTGAAAAATCAAGTAATGTCTACAGCCCTCCCACTATAATTATGACTTGAAAGTGATCACTCAATATTAACATTACATAACGTATTATTGTGAGATAACAAGAGATATAAAACAAAGCATTATAACCTTGTTGTGATAGCAGAGAAAAATCAATATTTACTAGGAAAAAAGTGAACTACAATATAACGTATGATAATTTATCATCACTAGGTTACCTCGCCTAATATGATGAAAGTATTATTTAATTATTTGAGTAAAAAAGTAATGTGAATGAAAAAGAGGTTGACAGAGAATTATTTATCTACCATTTATACATGGATCAGTGCTCATCATTGGTAACGATATCCTCCAACTCGATATCAAAGTATCTTCTCCTCCAGTGAAACAATATAATTCAATTTGTTGATCATTTGAATTACCTTAACGTACAAAAACAACAACCAAATATAAACATATTACCAAACGGAGATTTTGTATCATTTGTGTTAAAGAGAAAACATATAAGTCAGTAATTTAGTTATACTTGTTAATTGAGTCAGCTTAACTTAGTGATACTGTAAATAGTGTATATGGATTAGGTTACTTATTAATTTATGTGAAGCACTGGCTGGTCCAATATATATTTTAATTTGACCATTGATCAGATAATTAAATGATGCATAACGCAGTGTGATTTCGGTACAGTTTTTGATTTATTTAAGGTGTATGGTAAATGCTTATATCTGCAGTCTTGCCTTCCCCTTTGTATCAAGTCAGATCAGTTCTTGTTCAATTATAGCATGTAGTAAGGATTCAATTTTCTTGAAGTTATAACAAGTAGCCATACTAATGTACTGTCAGGGTAAAACAATTTGAATGTTACATTTTGTGGGAAGAAAAGTGATATACAAATTATTGATTAGCGGAAGGAATTAGAAAAGTCACTGGTTGAAAACTTAATAAAGTAATTTTAAAAAACAATGATTATTCGGAAACGTACAACTTGATAAACGCATCACAAGACAGCAAGCCAACAATAATCATAATCTCTGTGAAGAAATTTTAAAAAAAGACAATAATACTACTTAGGAAGTAGGCAAGTTTGAAAGTAAGGAATTTATTTTCATCTTTTTCCTCCTACGTAACTACATTTGTATACGGTAAAGTACTGTTAGAGCCATACAAGATACAGGAAGTTGGAGAAAAAATCAACTAATTTAAAGAAACATAGGAACAATAATGAGTCCACATTTATGAGAAAACTCCTCTATTATTCAGTGAATTTTATACTCCAATTCATTCTTTATTATGTTTATAAGAGACACTGGTTAATATTCTATAATAAAAACAACTGACTCGTAACAGTGAGGCTATTCAGTCTCAACATAAAACAGATTTATTCGATTGACATCGCATATTGAAGCATTTGTACTGTATCCAAAACTGATATCCGGTAGGACACAACTTATTCGTATAAAAATCTGTCTTAATCACTTCGAACATAGCGTATTATAACTATAATCCATAGAAAACGGTGGTTCAGCGTAGTATGCTAATTACTGAATAAAGATTGCAACTGTAACTCAGCAAGTATGTACAGATTCATCTATTAGGTTGTAAGTCATACATATCATATAAAATTATTGGGTTGATTAAACATCTGTAATTGAAGATGAGCTTAAATCCACGACTGATTGGTGGCGCTACAAATTTCTGCCGCATGATAATAAGTAATAACTCATGTAACAAACTGCAGGTTTCTGATTTGTCAACTGTAATTCAAGACTACGTCAAGAGATTGTAAGACACATCAAACGACTTGTGTTTAAAACAATATATTTTTTTAAATATAGAGTAAAACTAACCTTTAGGATAATTCTGAACACCGAATATGTCATCTTTATTGAGTAATAAACAAGTGTTAATTGTTTGACCATGAAGAGATGACTGAAATACATTTTTAAAAGGTTTTTGAGAACATACGACAATTAGAGAAATGTAAACAAGTGATGATAGCAAGCAGTAGCCACTTTATTAAGGTTATGAAAAAACCCAGTGCTAGTCGTTTCTTCGATAAAGCTTAAATATAGGCTTACTAATAAACTTCAAAAAATATTTACTGTAAAAAGATTCAGGAGACTATTTGAGTGTTTAGATTAAAGTAAGTACAGTGAATTTGAATTTCCAACATAATGGTTGAGAGACGAAGTATATAAACTATTAATTCTGAATTGTGAAATCACAGAGTATTCACTTTCAGGTAAACTGAGATCTAAACTTTTATAATCCAGAAAATATAGAAACCCGAAGGGATGAAAAACCAATGAAGCTATACTTTAAGCTTAGTTTCAGTACATTTCTACCATTGTAGGTGATTTACCAAGTACAGGTTAATATCGTCACCTTTGAGCTACACTATTTATGTCAGATTTAGCGATATAACGCAGCTTCCAAGACTGAATAACGAAGGGTGAAGTTGAAATCCGCAATCTATTGGTTGGAAGTCGAATTATATATACCGTTAAAAAGAATCATGGAGTCCCGAAAACTATCAAAATGTATCAAAATTACCTATAATTTGTATGATTAGTGAATTAGATTAGAAAATAAATCTATCTGTTACTGACATCAGCGGAACAATTTCTAACCATGTTCAAGGAATGTCATATGAACAGAACCAATTTTGGGTAGACCATTTAATACGGAAAGAAGCTTAAAAAAAAAACAAATTCTTTGTTCAGAGTACAAGTGTAAACGTGAAAACACATAATAACAAACTTACATTTAAATAAATAGGTTCGAAATTACAATTATTTGATAATATACAATTATGCGGGTCTGACTGAATTACAACTTTGCCTTTATTGATACTTGCAAAGACAGGATACGATGAACTGCTCTCCATTTCGATAGTTTCACTATTATCAACAATAATGCCAGCATTGTAACTATAAGTGCCATTTTCACAATTACCCAGTTTATTTGTTTTTATAGTATCACTGGGCAAAAACCAATCCCAGTAATGATTACCACCACCACAATCGACAATGAAACAACCGTCCTGACGTACTGGACAGGTAAACGACCAATCCAATTGGTTAGCTGCTTGTAAACACTTGTGATTTAGTGAAATAGCTTTGAAGTACTTCTGTATTATAAAATATAAATACGAGAGAAAGCATAGACGAAGAGCTTTTAATGAGTTAATTACCAAAAGATAAATAAGCGTTTTTAATGAGATAAAGAATACTGGTGACACAAGTGCAGGTTTTTGATGGCGTTTGATTCAATCGTGGACGCTATAAGTGTAATTGTTGTACAAGCTCAAAAAACAAGGGTAAAACAAAATAAGTTTAACATTATTTATAAATTAAATTGATACAATGTTAAGAAGCTCTAAGTCAGAAAAAGTGGTAGCCATATTCGGATTCGTCTGTACCGAGCACCGGTTAACTGTAAGTGGACAAGAGTTCAACGTGATGAACAGAAACAAAGTGAAGATTTGAGTCTATAATGAGATGGATTGACAAATAAAGTATAACCTAACAAAATGTTGAATGTTTATTCTATGAATACATGAATATAACCGTATTAAATTAGCAATTATATGGATAAATTTCAATAATTGAATGTTCCTAGATTAAGTTACCAACCAATAATAATATTAGCCAAACCAGACTAGAATAGACAATCTACCCAATGCTCAATTTATTCGAAATTATCAAGTCAAACCTTGGTAATGATACTAATTTGACTTGGTTATTTTAAGTTATGTATCTTCGCTAATTAACCAGATCTTAGTATTCATTCATAGGTTATAAATATAAATTTGATGGGAGTCAGTAATTTAGTACCTAAGAATATAAGACGTAATTCTATGGTGAAGTCGTAAATTAAACCGTCTTAATACAGAGATTTTAATCAGTTATATTAAAGAGAAAAATGTAAAAGGGACAAACTTCTAAGAATTTACATAACAAAACAACAGAAACTAATAATATCCTTACAGATTGAAACCCTAAAGCATAAATTCGATTATCAATTGACCGATACAATTTCTCAATCCATGTTAAATGATCAGATCTTAAGATTGTTGCCAAAAGATTTAATGAACCATTTGATTGGATGGACCAGTATTTAACATCACCGTATGTTCGACCACACGATAATAGATGACAATCTGACTGTCCTTTTATCACAAGCATCGATGTACACCCACCAGATTGATGACATGATTTCAAAAACCATACGGGTGAATACACTTTAGTGTCTTCAATTAAAAACTGGATAAACAAAAGAGAGATGAAAAAATACTTATTTATTCATTAAATGGTAATAATCATGAGCGAAATGAAACAAAAGTGTAGACGAAATCAAAACATAAGGGTTACTAGAACGAACGTATGAGTATGTAACAAAAGTACTTCTAAAATACAGTATTTCTATATATGAAAGCAAAATACTTTGGATCCTTTCGCCAGACACTATCAGCAACAACCTACTGTAGGAGAGAATAAACCAGATTCCATCGGAGGGACAAATCAGGAAGAATCGCTGGAAGTGGATAGGACACACATTGAGGAAAGCACCCGATTGCGTCCGCAAGGCAAGCCCTCACATGGGACCCTCAAAGTCAAAGGAGAAGAGGAAGACCAAAGAACACATTACGCCGAAAAATGGAGGCAGATATGAGAAGAATGAACAACGATTGGATAGAACTAGAAAGGAAAGCCCAGGATAGATTGGGTTAGAGAATGCTGGTCGGCGGTCAATGCTCCATTGGAAGTAACAGGTGTAAGTAAGTAAGTATATATGAAAATTTCCATACATATTTTTCCACAGAATAAATACAATTAACAAAGATATTTGTAGAAACTCAAACTTAAGAAGTTTGTAAGTGATAAAGAAAGCCTCTATGAACTAGGCTAGTTAAGGAAGTCTGGATCATCTTTATACTGTGTTCACTTAGTAGCAAACATCATACTGTCAAATCCCTAGTGCTGAAAGAATGTGGCCGCTAGTTTGGATGACTCGACAATATGGTGTATTGCTTCAATGTTACTTGATTAAAAGTGATCACCCAGACGTCCAAAAACCAGGCTTTGCATAAGTTTGTACTCGTAGGGGAGGTATATGTATTATCTTGAGGGGAATGACGCACTCTTCATATTATTCGAACTCATTCTACTCAATGTTTTGTGGAATGTTTATTCTAAGCTAATGGAAAATAGCGATTGACGTCTTACTATACATGGAGAAGTATCAATAAAGCATATTAAGTTACCACAATTATATTCTACGTTTTGTAGAATTACATAAGTTGAACTGAGTACCTTGCCTAGTGTACACGGTCATTAATGAATACAAGTGATGTTTGATAGTCGAAAAGGATAATTTTAATAAAGATTTTACATGGGAATGTTTAAATCTAATAGAAATCACGTTTCACCGTCAGAAGTACATTTTTCTTACGCTAGAACACCAGGCAAAATTTATAATGACGATAAAAAATTTAGCATCTGTCACTTAACTAATGTCTACGATGAAGAGTTTCATGCATTTTTGTGGTGTTAAACTCTTTGAGTTGGATAGTTTAATTTCGAAGTTTTCACCTATTAGGTTAATGAATTACAATTTGCACCAATGACTAGTTGTTGTAATTGTTTCCACTAATCTCGTCGTTACATTCATAGGCCAAACTGCTCAATCTCTGGTGCTGCAGTGAACAGAAACTCCAATACGGTGAGTCAATTTATTGTTTAACGCAAAATTACACAGTGCCTTTGTAAAATGTGAAAAGCATACATTAGGTACATCACTTGCACATCTTCCTTTAGTTGTCCTTTTTATACACTCTATTATTCTTCCAATCGTTGTTATTCCGATTGTTCTCCGTTTTCCTTGTTATTCTCTTTAATTCAATCTTCTGCTGACAAGCATCCCAATTCCTATTCCTGCTACATATCACTTATATCTGTCCACATAAAAAGCGCACATCACAATGGTATATTAGATACTTTCACAGAATCATTCACCCCTTTATAATTCTCTGGGACTTAAATTACAATATTCTTTCATAAATAGTTTCTCATTCTTTCTCTAATTATATTCTAAATCTTGGGTCCTTTTAATATCAGAGATACTAGAACTATTGTGATTCTTATGGTATCTATTTAATTACACTGACTTGATATGGATATTAGAGGTAATCTACATTTATTTGGTCAGATTCTATGTTAATTACGATTGACTGCTACTTTAACAAATATTTTGATATTAAGTTTATTTACATATTGGTAAAATCCATAAAAAAAGCACACTTACATTTACAACGTAAGAATAAACTCCACCATCACGAGTACCAGTCACAAGAATTTGTTCATCACTCATTTCAATGTTATTAAAATGAACAGGAATGAGTTCAGATGCTGCATTTAACCATCTCATATTTTTTGAACTATTTGATCCTTTAATAATAGTGAATATTTTACCAAATGAAAGAGTATTTTCAACTATGAATAAAGGTATAATTAACTATAGAATAAGGGGAAAAATAAAACAACACGGGACAAATTAACTTCATGAATTGAATTCCAAAAAAAACTTTTATAGACACAATTAAGTTACTCATTAGTAATAGCGAAAAAAAGACTACAATTAGCTAGGTATTGCTTGATGTAAAGCAGAAAATTATTTAAAAATGTATTTAGAAACTTCTTTAACTTGTTATTAATTTCATAATAAATAGTATGGAATACTACTTATCACTGTTTAATCATATTATCCATAGCTCTCGTACAATAAGATAAATCAACAACGTCAATGATTAAAATGAATAAAATAAGAAATGATATATTATGTCTATTTTACCTTTAAAAAACTGTGTGTAATTCACCGGTGAATGAACAATAAATCTGATCTAGTTTAACCCCTAGTTCGATCATAATGGGTGAGGTAGTAGAATGCACTGATTGCATTCACTTATCTGAGAAGTCTCACCAACCCTGATAGGTTGGTGGCAGATAAAGTCTCGGCTTCGACTCGAAAATCTACCATGGTTTTTGCAAACTTTCGTCTATCTATTACAGGTCAAATATAGTGGGTAGAAATCTGTTTTATTTTACTATATGATCGTGAAATGTGGCCTTTAAAAGTACGAAGCATTCGAAAGTTATTAGTATGTGATATCTGGGATTGTTTACACCCACTGCAAAATTAAAATTTCACCTTCTCTGGAAGTCGGGTTACGATAATCATTAAAACAGTTAAAACTAAATTTCAAATATAATGATAAATCTAAAGTCACTAAGTAATTTATTATGTTTATTGGTGTATGCTACTTATGTCTGTCGATATAAATAGTATGCAACATCAATCGGAAGTGAAAAACCTGGTAACAGCAGGTTAAGAAGATAGAGTTGAAGAGAATAGAAAAGGGGAATAGAAAGGAACTGTGAACTGGGAGAATCAAACAGAATGTGAAAGACAATTAACAAGAGATTTGCAAATGTAGTATTCAGTGTATGGTTCTCGTTCACAACATATCTATTCAACAATTCACTAATACATATATAATGTACTTATTGTAGTAAATCAATCAATTTGATTAGTTAAAACATGAAAGTATGGAGAAAATGGTAATTGCTTTTTCACCGAATATTATTTACAATGGAAAGTGAAGATATTTTAAAGGAAATAAACACAAACTTACAGAATCCCCGTTTGTTAGTCCAATTATTATATATGATGAATTGATCCATATGATTTTCATGATTTTATCGTTTATATTAACGATATCTAACCATTCCATAAAAGGTGAATCTGTTTTCGCAATGGAAAGACACGAAAAAATTATAGGAGAAAATTATATACAACTTATTCAATGAAAATGTGGTCGTTATGTATTTGCCAAGAGATATGATGGGCCAGGGTTCGTTCCTAGGTCGAGCCATGGGAGCGCACTGGTGAAGAGTTTCATATTAGAAAGAATTTATTTATTTATTTATTTGTTATATCCCCCGGTGAATTACGAATGGTAACTTTTAGGTCTATTTATGGATCAATGTAATATGCCTATTTCCTCTTGTACAATTATTACGTAACTGAACTATTCATATTCGTATTTCTCTTATCATTAGCTTTATTTTGACCTTTGACTTATTATCATACGATTCTTGAGTTATAATCAGTTTATTGATTACTTTGGTTTGTATAAAAACCCAGTGTGTTTGTAAATAATGATTCATACCACTGAGGCTGTTATTGGTGTTTTGGACTTAACTGGCTGGGCTACGCAGATCGCAGGGCCGATACGTACTCTAGACTTCTCGTACGGTTTCGTGTCACTGTTCCAATCGATAATTCGCTGCTCCCTGATTGGTGGTCTTATCGCGTCATACATCAACTAGTCATCCACTCGACCACAAGATATAACATTATTTAAACACATAAGAATTGATACAAGGAGGCACCGAATACATATGCGCCATACAAATTATTCGATATGTGTGAGGGCTGGAATACTGGCCGACGGCGCCCAAACCGAAGCAGGACTAGGGAGAAAAGGATGTTTAGTGCTCCCTGGTTATCAATGGTATCCCAAGTAAGACCAAGCTTTAAGGAATACAACTGACGTAGGTATGATATTTTAAGAAATATTAAAAATAAAGAATGTTTATAGAGGTGTGAAATTTAAACATAATTTAAGATGTAAAGCTATGGTAGTTTACCACTTAAAATTGTTGATCCGTATGTAAAGTGTTCAGACAATGTTATTCTGGTGAACTTCCAGTAAACTTCCACTGACAGGGTCAATGAAGTGCGTTTCAGCACTTTTCAAAAGGATAAATGCAGAATGTTGGGAATGATGCCCTTTTATAGACGTAAATCTACAAATAACTTAGTGTCGAAGACAAAAACTTCTTTACAGAAGTAATTCTGGGAAGAACCTATCCTTAATATATTTAGACTGATTACAATAACTGATTAGTAACGGGGATGATGAGAACATTGACTACTTGACTCTAAATAAAATACTATTTTCAAGTTTCAAAATTCATAGTCAACTGATACCCAATCTAAGCTACGGAAAGAAAGTGAAAATCAATCATGATCCAAGTTTTTGTGAGGATCTTCAATTAGCTATTCACTACTCATCGGATACTAAACGTGAACATACCACCCTCCAAAATAACTTATTCCTCAGACCCTAACAGGCACTGAGACATTTTTTTCTATGTGCTTGAATTCAAAACGGTGGAGATTTGTAGCTCAAATGCATTTTGGTGGAGCTTTGTTCTCTGAGTGCCTGAATTTAAAGGAAAGTCAAACAACTATATGACTTTCCTATGAGGTATTTCATTTGAAATTGTGTGAGGGTCCTATTAATAATTTTTATTGGAAGTGATGTCAACTACTAGCGTCTATTCAACTTCTTTTATGGAAGAAATTCCAATCGCTCTCAACTTTTCAGAAAATAATCACTAACTCAAAGATCGTTTGGTTCCTCCTAACATAATAAGGTCATACATATTCCTATTATTTAAATATTTCGAACAGTTGTTCACTTTCAAACTAGTTCGTCTCATTTGTTGCTGAAACGTTAAGACAAGAAAACAAAGGTCGATGTTTTTTGGATGGAAAATGTGACTCCCAAACAAAATGAAGGTTTTTGCACAAGCGATTTACACTAAAATTGTTTTACGAGGTTTATAGATGTTATTAAAGTATCATTCCAAGGTTCTAAGCTTGAGAATAAGCCAATTATTCAAAATGTACTCATAATCATCAAAATTCATTGCGATTATTATTTGAAAATACAGATTATCAAGGCGCCATAAAGTAACACGATAAGATTGGGGGGTATTCGTACGGCATATCACATAACCAAAAAGCAATACTTACCTTCAAGTAACTTGACCAGTGAAAGATAGCCAGATATATTCCCGATTATCACGTAGGATCGATCCGGACTTGTACAACACGTCAAGTAGCCGCCTAAAAAGGAGACCGCAGAGCCATTAGGTTTTGCAGAAAATTCTCCAAACTTTAGTACAGCGTTTGCATCTTCAAAAATTCGATGAATCTTAGGATATACTTTTCGAACGATTGGGTCAGTTATATAGAAATATGTATAGATAAGCCTGTGAAAAGTATCAAATAATCCCAAGATGATTCCAACTATTTGAACATATAGCGTATCGAAATAAGAAAATGCAGAAAACACCACATATAGTTTGCATAACGAAGAAAAGGCTACATATTATTTCATAATTAGTTGTTTAAATGAGGCTAAATTAAAGTCTCTCCAAATATATCATTTTGGAAATGATATCCTGGTACTGCCGAGAGTGGAGAGAGTCAGCTCTCCCTCTCGAAATGCTCTCACATGGACACGCGTATATAGCCTCTGACAGGGAAGTCCTACTCACTGCCTTCTCGTGGTGGGGGCGTTGTTCACAAAAGTGAGAGGACGAAAAGCGAATATCCGGCTCTTTAACCGGGTTGGTGGACACAGAAAAATCACGTAGGGGAGTTGGAAAACCCTGATTTCAAACCAATGGTGCACATAGGTTCCAGGATCCTAAAGAAACAAATGGAGTATGAACAAATCGTTGGTAACTGGCTACCATGGGATCGCATCTCCTTACGATGTTCCACTTCCTTAAGGATCAGGCCCCTAGGTCAAAGGCTCGGGGTGTGGCCCCCTAAGAAAACCACCTGTTTCGGTTCGGACACCCGGTCAGTATCACAGTCCTCACACAAATCAAATGAGATTTGTGTGGCACATATATATCTGGTGCCCCTTTGTACCAATATTTATGTGTTTAAATATATAAAAAAAAATAAAGTAAAATGATAATAATTACAAATCCTAATGAAAAGTTAGGACGTTTGGATATGTTAAACATAACTCATCGAGCAATATTTAAGCGATCAACATTTCAGCTAGAGAGAGATACGTGCGTAGGTTGTCATCTGATCAAGCGTACATGTTTAGACAGATATGCCAGTGATCATAATGGTACAAAGAAATATGCGACATCTTACTGTCCAAATAACATTGTCTGTTAAGTGAGTTAATAGAATCGCTTAACCAAAATTAACCATAATCGAAATTGATTGTAAGAGAGCTGCTATAATCTATAGGAAGGTCTTTAGATGCTGCTTTGATGATTGTTTTGCCTACTTGACTGGTCTCTCGGGTTTACTATATTTCTCTGACAGTTTCTTCGCTGTATCATAAAGTTGTTCCATATTTCCTTTTCTTCCAGCTTTTTCCTCTGTCGTTGCTAGGTCTTCCACGTATTTCTACTAGTCAGCTCTAATGTTCTTGTTCACTTTCTTGTTTGCTTCTATGTATTCCGTTTAAGCCTTGACTTCCTCTGTTCTTGTTCTTCCTTTCTTAAATCGTGCCCAATTTCCTTTGGATTGTATAAAATATACCTTGCTGATAAATGTCAACCTGTACTGAAACGTACGTTAATGGCTTCCTGTCGACTTCTTCCATACACCTAGCATGAAAATAAGTTTCTAAAATACGAATCAAATTTAAGCAAAAGAAAACTATGAAAGGGGTGGCTGTGAGTAGCACCACTTTTATTTCTCAAAACTAATAAAACTATGGCATTCTATGGTAACTGCAAGTGAAACTGAAGTGTTTCTCTTGCACACAACCAATAAGTTACTCCATTCAGATAATCAAAAAATGAAAACTCATTGGTAACCCACCCCAAATTTGTTATGTAGAACAGACGACCACATGAACCAAAAAATAGAACACGTGCAAAGTCTTTTTCTTTGAAGTTGATGGAGATCTAGAAAAACAAATGTCGACAGAAACAAACCATGAACCTACTTGATGTATTTTGGCAGTACAATAAGTTAGTGATCAGCAACGTAGAACCTGGCGTGCATATATGAATCAGTTCAAATTCTCAAATCGATTGGATTTGGTTGTGTAAGACCCACAACCCTAAACTATGTAGCACTATAGTTTTTCCTAGTTTTACCTTATCTGTACAGACAAAAAGCTTAGTTGCCACGCCTTATCAGTAAAAGTGAGGAAATGACCTAATAGCTTCCATTACTATTGTACTGGTTCAGTTTTCTTGAATAAGCTTTTTATGCCTGCTCTGTAAAATTTCTGATGGAAAAGTTCTACATATCCTTAAAGATCAGAATAGTTTGTAAAAAGAGAGTATTCTTCTAGAAAAGAAGTAGGATAAAAGAAATATGTTAAGTCCATTAATCATAGTACTGAGTTCAACTCTACGTAGGGTTATGGGAATGTGTATTCTATCAAATTAGTTGGACTATACACCCAGCTAACGCCACAGCTCATACATCGTTGCAGGGATTAGATGAACAAATTATATGTATATATATCCATGATCTCCGTACATTAGGATTCGATTTCGGTAAACCTTCCTACACATTGAAGCATTTTTATTCGAATAGTGTCTGGTCGGTGATTAAGAAGGCATATTTTAAGCTGGACCGAATTTGAGGAACATAGTAATCACCGAATTCAATCTAAGATTGCTTAATATTAAATACACAGATAACAATTTACATGTTTATATACTGTTAAAAGTTACAATGAGCACATACCCGTATAAGGACACTAATACTAACTTTGTTGCCCAGATCACACTATATGGAATGAGTCTGAACCTTTGAAGCACAATGCTGTTCGTAAATATATCACAATTCAGCAATAATATGGAAAATATGTTATAAAGCCTATTAAAAACTAGAAGAAAAAGATAGACACATTTAAACCCCTATTGTTCCATATAAATTGTTTCTTAAACAAGAATACGTGAATCAGTAGTGCATTGCCGTACAAAACAGCATTACCTGCTGGGAAAACGGAGACATTATCTTCTTTTCATGTGAATTCATCATCGACTCTTTAGTGTTATTCATAGTAAGTGCATGGCATGGTAATATTATACATTCAGATTCATCACAATTATTACGATAGTTTTTAAGCTCACGAATACATATGGCACCATCATTCCCACCAGTTGCCTGAAGAAAAAAATAAGAGAACCGGACTAATTCAGGAGAATTAAGTGTAATGTTTAATGTAGTAAAGACACCAAAAACTTTTCTAAAGATTTAATCATAAAGTGACTAATAATAAATTATAGCACTACAACATATCAGAACATATGAATATGCATAAAAAAGCTTCACCCTTAAATTCACAAAAGCTAAACCTATTAAATTATAAAAATTACGACATCGTCTGGCTAATGAAATATATGCATCTTTAAAAACTAAAAAGTAATTGGAATTTTAAGACTGGGTAACGAAGTATGTGTTCATGGCACTAAACTACACTTTTTGTTTGAGAACAAACAAAGCTATCTAATTGACAAAAAAAATAGATGCAGTACGTTTCGACCTTGTAAATAAATGGTCAAACTCTAAAGAGAAATTCAGAAATCAATGAACAAGATTTAAAACTCCATTGTGGCTACATTTTGAACTTGAAGAAGTTGTACATTCTAGTGTATGGTACAATTAGGAATAAAAAATATAAGCAAACTTTTACGCACGCATTAATATGAAGCCACAAAAAGCACATCACATCAATGTAACAATTTACCAATAAGACAGACTCAGAGTTCGCTGTATTTTCGCTCCAAACGCTACAACACCAAACATTTTGTCCACGATGAATATCTCGGAAGACAGTAGGGTGCGATATATTGTTCCATTGATAATAAACAACACGACAATCCTAAAAAGAGTACACTGATTCTTTTTAAATTCAGAATACTACAAAAAATGGTTGGGAATAAATAAAAAAAACCGATCATATAAACAACTGTCACGATCGATTATATCGTTCCAAACGGAAATCACATATATTTCACTTAGTAACTTATGAAAATAACTGTACAAAGACTTTATTACAAAGTCTATACTACGTAGATGCAGATTTAAATCACAAACTTATGAGCGAAAACTGAACAAGTTAAAAGCCGTTACAAAACAGTCTAAAAACTAGCCACTATCCACCTTTGCTTATAATACATTTGCATTAGAGGAATACGCACAGTATGCACATATGCCAGTAAGAGACTGATCAATAGCAGTCCTAAACATCAATGTGAAAATTCAAGTACACAATACTAAGTGAATAAGAAATATTCTTTGGGATTATATTAACCATTTAGTAAACAACCACTGAGCTATTTTGAGAACATGCTAAGTATATAAAAGGCCAGTCCCAAAAATATTGATTGTAAACGTAAGTAACTGATTTATACAAATTCTGACTACTTCAAAGTATGCAAGGAAGTAAACGTACAACAGAAATATGAATTAGAAACGCAACGAAAATGGAATTCTAGCACTTCGATAGCTAAAATCATAAGCGCAGAATGTAAACTAAGAGTTAACTGTAATACACAGAAAGGAAAATATGAATACCGAATCTTATTCGACATTTATATTCGTGTTTAGTATACATGATGCAATCAAACTACAATTTAAAAAAGACTCAATTTAATAGGTTATCAAGAATGACTTCATATGTTTAGCAGCATTAAATACATGCAGCAAAGTCAATGAAATTACCCAAACTAAGTATCTAGTGTTATATCCAAACGAAGACTAAAGAAATGCTAACTTTCAGAACTAAGCTGTGGACTATTATATATATATATATATATATATATATTATTCCTTTTGTAATAAGCTTTTGGTTCACTCATTAACTACCGGCGTATGGTTTACTACTCTTTATCCGTTGTCAGTTTTATTATTCAGTCTCCTCTATTCACAACCGACTTTTGGCTTGATTATGTATGATTGTTGTATTTTGTCTTATAGTGTTATTTGGTCTGGTCTTCTGTGTATACAAATGAACTTCTGAAATATAATAACAATGTTGAACTGGTGATCATTGGTCTTATGTCTCTTTTCATTTGAGACTAGTTAGCACTGGCTCAACCGTCAAGCGTGGATTATCAGCCCTCTCGTTCTTGTTGCGTATTGGTTGCTTAAGGTTGTCTGTGTGCAGTGGTGTTAGGACGTAACAACTCTGTATGTAGACCCATGGAATGAATCATATCCTAAAATCACGAATATTAACGTCAAAAGATACCCAAAAAATATATGCATGAAACTGTAAAATCAGTAAGTTATATGTACGTTTTTAAGTGATATTTAGACTATTGTAGAGTAGTTCATGATACCTATTAACTAGATAGAGGATTCAATACCTTTCATTCTATTCATAAGTTCGCAAAAACTAGAAGTCAGAAGCATCTTATGCATAATAATATAATGAGTCCAAATATTTCCAGTAATCGTCATTTGATTTGTGTGTGGCTTGTGATACTGACCGGGTGCCCAGACCGAAACAGGTGGTTGTCTTAGGGGACCATACCCAGAACCCTTGACCTAAAGGTCTAATCCACAGGGCAGTGGAACGACTTAAGGGGATGCAGTCCCATAGTAGCCAGTGACCAGCAATAGGTAGATATGCCATTTGTTCCTTCAGGATTCTGGAGCACATGTGCACCAATGGTTTGGAATCACGGCTTTCCAAAATTAAAAATAGCATTATATCATCAACAGTAAGCAAGTTATTTAGCTATTGAAGACGAGCTATTTCAATTTTTACGAAAACTCATGGAGCAAAGAAGTGCGATCATTGTAAAAAACAAATAAGCCATATTTTAAAAGTTGTTTAGTAATTCAGTAGTGTATGACTCGAAATTAAATAGAACAAATCATTTAAAATATTATACAGGATTGCGAATACTTACTTCGCCAGTGGCTACTACTCCCCAATCACCGACACGAACACACCATATCCTAGACTCAAATATAACACTAACGTCGAAAATGCTGCCTGCCTTTAAGTTGTACACTAATTCCCATGAGCTGAAATCCTTGACACCTCCGTTCGAATCGGCTGGAGTCGACCAGATAGCGATGCTACGATCTTCAGCACATGAGACCAGACGGAATGACTTTTTAGACGATGACCGTTCACTGGCTAAACAACATAAATCAAGAGAAAATATCACACCCTTTTTATTAATGACAGAATCGTGAGATTCAACGAAGCTTTGGGAACTTCACTGTACAATAATCGAGTATACACCATGCACCTTACCTTTTGAGCGCACAGACTTAAGCTCGGAGCCATAGATTGTGTAACATTATCGTTTGGAATTTTAAAGATGTGAATATTTCCAAAAGTAGATCCACAAAATACTATAGTTTTATCAACTGGTGGAGACAGTAATGAAGAGGCTGGAGATGAAAATTGAAGTATATGACCTGTGTAACTAATATTAACATAAGAATAGTCCCAAGAAATTTATGACCACTCACCAAGCACTTGTTTTAAGGTTAACAGAAGTGACATCAACGTTATCATTATTTTCATCAAAATTCCATGACAATTTGATAACTTTGAACAAACCATGACTGGTAAGAGTTTGTACGTAAAGTGATAATTCATTCGAATTAATTTTACAGTGCACAGTATTATCACAATGATAATCTTCAAATATAAGTGATAAATCGGAAGATAACAGATCGAATTCGAGGACAGTGACAAATCTATTTCCGAAAACGCACAAGACGTGACTGTTACGTTTGGAATCTATGGTGAAATGTTGGTGTTGAGACTAGTTCAAATTAGAAAGTACCTGGCATTGTCTCTATGTTATGTATTATGACGAAACGCCTCAACAAATATTTACACAGAACTGATTTTTTGTGTACGTCGTATATGCTCAATAAGTTCGCGGAGCCTACAACCAACAAACTTTTTGAAATATGGGATAAAGCAGTGATTGGGCAATGCTGCCATATGATTTCCAAGCTTTTACATGTCATTTTTTCTTTAATAACTACGTCCTGTTTTCCAAAAAACCTGAAACGAGGTTGAAAAACATGTATCATAACACAACAGCAACAACACTATAGCTGTAGAACAAACTGAATACATCAAAAGATTTTTCCCGTGACACCCAATTTACACCAACTAAAAAACCACCAAAAGTGTTCACGATTTGTATGTATTTTTATTCCAGTAAGTAATGAAAGGAAGCGAAACATATAGGCAAATGGAATGACAGGTAAATGATTTCTAAGTTTAGCACCTAAACACTATAGGATACAGAAAATGCAGTCCCGGTTACTAACTTATTACTCTGAAGGATTTCTGAATGTGCTTGAATGAAAAAACACTACTTTAGAAAAATGAGTGAAAAGTTCGTGAAAAATTACATCTACTTGTGATATCCCAACCAATATACAGCTGCAACTACTTATGATAGGTATTTGGGCGAGACTAAAGAACATGGACGAGCCAATCAGAAGCTTTCGTGGGTTTTCAAGGTCACGGCGCTAAGTTCGGTACCTGATGCTTACGTACGGTCGGTTTACAACGGATTTTAGAGAAAACATGATAATTAAGCGTCTACAAGATAAGTTATAAGATTTTGGCGCAAAACTCAATTATACATTTGGACAGAGTTGTGGCATTATAGTTGATGTCAGTTCGTGATGAAAACCGTAAGTATAATTCCTAACCTTAACCATGAACTGTAAATCATAATTTGAATTCTTCACACGGGTTTATGACCCTCATTTAGTCTTAGTTATTACGTTTACACTCTCAGATTCACTCTAGCGTCGCTCAAATGTCGTACATAATTCATAGTCTCATCTTTAACCCTAAACCGTAACCCTAAACCTTAACCCTAATCTTAAACCCTGAACCATACCAACATACCGACAACACTGAAACTATGTGGTCGAGGCTGAAAGAATTTTCGGGACTTTATCATGGTTTCAGAGGTCGGCTACTATGGAGCCACAGGGATGAGTTCCTGTGCCGGATGCACTATGATTTTAGAACTTCTGAACCTATATCTAACCTTGATAAGTTTTTGATTCATGTAAAAGAACAGTATCCCCTTTAATTTTTGAGTTTTATATAATATATTTTTACTGTATGCTAACTGTCTTCTGATTGGCTAATATTTCTCAAGGTCATTTAAGATTCGTTCAAAGGTCGTCCATGTTCTTTAGTCTCGCCGGTATTTGAATATGTGCAGACATACAAATATACACGATTTAGGTGCCCTAAGAGCTACACCAGCATCAATAATTAAGTTCGTATTGAATTCTGTACCCATTAATCAGTGAAATGTTTACCTGATTGGCTAATATTTCTCAACGTCACTTGAGATTAGTTCAAAGAAGAGAAAGAAACTGGAGAAAACATTTGTGGACAGACGTTTCATGAATAATGTGCCTATGTACGAAAAAATTACTAACCTAAGTATTAGTCAGTGAGCCATGTATATCTACAAACAATGTACCCTTTTTCTCCTAGAATACCTTGCCGGCCAAAATCACAGAGACCGCAAGGCCACCCAGATCATTTAAACCAAGAATAGTACATTCCGCGTCATTTTTGAATTCATTTTTCTCGTGGACGGGGATGAAAAGCTAGGTTCAGGGTCTTCGAGTATGTGTTAGATACCTCCGAAGTGCTACCAAGAGGCTTGTTTTGGCAAAGAGAACGAACTCCATAGTCTGACACAAAGTTTCACTAGTTATATCCCTAGTATTCACAATTCATAATGATCACTTCAGGAGTTCTGTGTTTCTTCGTTCGATCTTCAAGTCTCCCTTGGTTACATTTAACACACTGGTGTAAACAAAGCAGTGAAAGGATGTGGATGTAAATAAATTCCGAGAATCAATAGCTCTGTAATTGTTCGACATTGAATGCTGGCCATATTGGTTTTGATGGACTCACCTAGCTAAAGGCGCTCGGTCATGCATCCAAAACAGATCACGAGTGGAAACAACATGCTCAACATCCCATGTAATCACTAGCCAGATCAGTCGGTTCTTGATATTGTAGCTGTAAATAATTCCCCAAAATCAATAGCTTTCTAAGTGTTCGACATTGGATGCTGACGACGTTGTTTAAGTGAACTTGTTTAACTGAAGTCATGCATCCGTACCAAATCACGTTTCGACTCAGTGTGGGACACTGCTCCTACATTTCACTAGCCAGCTTAAAGTAAACACTTCGCGATATATTGATAACGTATCAAATATATCTTTCCTGCCTCTTCGCATCTGAATTCTGGTTTCATCGGGTTGGTGAAAGCTTCGTATATAGAAGGTGCTACTGGTAGCAGGTTGTAAAATCAGAATACTAGTCGTATCTGATGTTGTTTGGTCTTAAGTAACTGTTTAATCTTTTTTTTATTCAATGTTGTCTTTATGGCACTGAATATGTTGGATTATCATACTATTATTAAAAGTTATTGAAATGATTGCTTTATTTCATGTGGTTTATTTTGAAGCACGTCTTCTGTTTGTTTTAGGGACTTTTGCCATTATTGATTGTTTACTATGGAGCTAATTCAATTAACTCATTCTTCTTCGGATAGAATATTGTTCTTTAACTGATAAGAATATTTTTTTCTTATTGTGATAATCGGGTTGGAGAAATTACTCTTCATTAACTATTTCATCTGCATCATGTTACTTTATTATGAGGAAATTATTGTGTATTATCGTTTTTTGAATGATCTAACTGGGAAAAGCGTAACTGTAATTCTATCAGTGGTAGTCTCATTTCTAGATCTTACATGAGGTAATATACAAATAAAAATAGAATTCTTAGGTAAAATCAACAAGCATTTTGAAAGTGAGTTTCCTGTACATCCAAATCAGAATACTAATCGTATCTTCAATATATTGATAGTCTATCAAATATACATCTTCCAACCTCCTCACTTCTGACTTTTGATTCCACGGGGTGGGCTCGATTCAATTACAGAGGGTGTTGCAGGTTAAAGTGCTATCAAACTCCGAATACCTGTGGCATCTTCAAGGACACCGTTAATCAATTTTAATTGTGAGTATTGCTCGACTCTTAACCAGGTTATTACATATGGGTACTATAAAACCCACAACCATCATTTATCATGGGAAGGAACATTGATACTTACTAGTCATCAACTCGATCCAAACTGCTAGGGCCTTGAGTTAAATTTTTGTGATATGATATATTCTTATCTTGTAGATGTGTGGAGAAAGGCATGACAAACCTATTTTGTAAGTCGTTTTTGATATTAATTGCATTTATTTTGTTAATTTTATGGTTTGTAAATTTACCACAAATGATTATAAAAGTTTTTAAGTGTTTGACGTTGAGCTCTCTCCCGTTCGTTTTTAATCGCTCATAACATGACACAATGTTAACCGCTCGTAAATACATTGTTACACACACGTCTCTCGTTCTCCATTGCCTGTGGTTAAGATAACTGAACTATAAAATGTCTATTGTCTGCATTTATAGACTACAGCCATATTTACTATATATACTACATCTGGGTATATCTCTGGAATTACAACAACCATATAAGAATTATTAATTACCTATAATTGTGGGTTATGGTACCCAGTGTAACTCCAACACGCCAAAGCCTACCGATTTAAGTAACGTCACGTAACTTTATTTGGATGTAACAACTTTATTGTCATTTTCGAGTCGATATGATTTTTGTCCCGCAACAATGTCTTCAAGGAATGCTTCTCAATAATAGAAGCTTCATGTGTTTTGAAATCGGGCGTACGGATGGTGATATATTTCCTCCTTGGGTAGTATTTTTTTGCCCTAGATTAATACTTTATAAGACCATGCTACTGAATTTCAAGATTTACTGTTACTAAGTAATCGTAACCACAATGCTCTCCAACCCTAATCTTGCAGTATAAAAAGCCATCAGACTAACCTATTTTGAGTTTGTGGTGACAAAGAACAACGTTCACTAATTAGGGACCTTCCCACGTAAATTGCAGTGGGTAGGAAGCTCGCTAAAATTTGATGATAGATCTGTGGTTACCTGTATTAAAAGACCAGAGTGAGGTTCTTATGGGCTGGATGAAGGGAATTTTCGAAATGATTGAAGTTAATGATGAGCCGATGCAATGTTTAAGAGTCATCACTCAACCAACCCTATCAAATCCGAATTTGACACTGAAAACTGTGGGCCTCAAGAGATGCCGCAATAAGATCGGCAAACGCTTAGGAACCAATCAGTCTGGTAATCCATGGAGTGCTTGAGCTATTGAACAGTAGTCAAGATGAAGCTCAAGAACACGATATGCAAAAGTGGTGTTGTCTATTACGTTGTAAAGGCCTTCATAGCGCTGAGATAAGTACCGTGTCTGCACAACTCCGTTTGATACGCTTTAAGACTACTGGGTCTGTTCGTGTGGTGATTGTGAACATCAGAAACCAAGAAAACTTAGGACATTTACGTCTAGTGCAGCACGAAGAATGACTCTCCTAATCACACCATATGTTGTGATAGCTGATCTAGCACGGTGATAATACAATAGAAAAGCCAGATATAATACATTCTAGTGTCGGTTTAACTCAACCAACAACCTATGACACTAGACACATGGACAACGGTTCTGTTAATCATACACGCTTTACAGGAAGAAAACTTACGTCGACCAATTTCCATGGAATTATAAACTGCTTTTAACAACAATCCATTTTAAAACTCCGAGACATACAATACCTCATAAGAGCATAAGATTATGAGACTAACCCCCAGACGCCTCTATCGTAAAGTTAGCATACTATAGAGTAAATTAGGGAGGACCACAAACATTTGCTTTAACTTGGATCTGAAGACCACAATTCCAACTGAAACATAGCTCTCCCCCGACGTCATTAGGGATGAATAGAACGTGCAAAGCATAACATTTTTCCGATATCATTGAGTGAACTAAATAGGAGGAGTGTTGATACACATTAACACGCACATCATAGCCGTAATGCTATACGATACCTAACTAACCCAGGCGACAGCATCATTCCGACTTTGCTTCGATGCCGGATAATTAAAAACCACATCTCTTAATCTCATTTTTCTGCACTTAATCACTACAGGGTGGTTTCATGAGCGACAGAAATCAGAAGTTAGAGACTGCCCGAGCATCAGAATGACACCGCGAAATGAGATAATGACAAAAAGTTCGCAACATTAGACTATTTAATAACAAATCATCAGATTTTAGTCGAGGATGCCCATTTTCAAGCACCGGTAGAGAGTAGTGACAATGGTAGAATCACATATAGTGTCATTAGCGAAGTAATTTAGGACGACGGGACTCTAAATGAACGAGAATGTCCCCTATCCTCGTAACAAAAGGGCAGATCAGACCATTTTGATGAAGCACCTTCAGCACGACCTATGGTAAAATAAATGTGGGAGGCTAATTATACAAGTCAACTGGTAGATAATAGGGGATATTATTTAGGACCCCATCCTAGACAACATAGCTCAAGCAATGTACAAACCATGGAACAAAAGTTCTTGACCTAAATGAGGAACAGAATCCCTATTACACGTTAAAAGGGAGTCTAGTACCAACTGAAAGCTCCCCTACATGATTCTGACTTTGAGGACCAGATATAATTTGACATTGTGGAGTAACAGGTAACATAAGCAGACCTAAATACCAGATAAACTACGAGATAACCTAAAGTATCTCAATAGGGTCACGACTAAGTGAAAACTCACAAGCAATAGGTCTCTGATCACAAGGGCTCTAGAGGTGATGATATTAACAACATTGAGATGGCAGAAATTCTTATTGTCCAGTTCATCGATCAATCAAATCAGGAACCTACTAGCTTTAAACGCTCCACAATTGTAGTGCCAACTGAAGGCCAAGAATATGTCCACATAACTCCCAAGTTATTAATGATAAAAACATGATCCCTGAACCTATCCAAACCACCAGATGTGACTATAATCGCAGTGCGCGTAAGTTTTCAGTACACATGCATATGACCTATTCGAATAGTCGCTAAAGTCAAAGCGAGTCCAAAAAACAGAAACAGGTGACTTTCCCTAATTCTTAAAGAGAGAGATAAAAAAGACCTAATGTGCCACAGACCAGTCACATCACTGTAGACGATACTTTTAGCGAATGTAGTGATGAATTTTTATGACCAGTTATATCTTGGCTCCCAGACTACCTTCGGAGTATGATTTCGCTTGCGAATGTCAAAGGAATGCGCGATCCATTGGGTCTGGATATTAAGAGTTTCGTGACGGGGTATCCAAGGTTCACTCTTGTCTTTGCTCGTTCTTTAATAACGACCCTGTGTACAAACTTAGCTGAGCGGATGGTGTCAGGATGTGGAGGCCCATGAAAGACGAAAAGCATTCTTTTGAGCACCAAAGAGATCTCACAATAATTGAGGAATGACAGTAGACAATGGGTTGATACGTGACCCTTCAAAATGTTTTGTCATGTGCATTCTTCCGTAGGGAACAAAATGGACTTTTGGCCCGTTAAGAAATTGTCTCCCGATTGTCGTCACAGAGTACCATACAGAACGATTTACCACAGAGAGCTTGGACACTAATTTCAAAAACGCATTAGTGATTCAGGGTAAGCAAATATAACCCTTCACTTTATGAAATGAGGGCTTAACTTAGTCATCTTAGAACTGTTACTATCACCATTTAAAACTCACGCTCGATCG